GCCCACCGTGAAGTTCCCCACCACAGAGCTACAGTACGCCAAACTCCTTTCTTCCGCCCTGCGCGGCGCGGGGGGAGGCGAGTGGAAGATCGTTTGTTACCTGGAGAGGCACCACGTTGCGTCGCATCGCCAATCGACACATTTCCCTAAAAATTTACACTTCACTCACTGTCGCCCCACCGTCCCCGCCTGCGAAGCACCCCTCCCCCCGTGCCACCCCTTCGCGCTGCTCACCGTCCTCTTTCCCTTGCTCTTTCTTTCCCTTCCTCTTTCCCTTCCTCTTTCCCTTCCTCTTTTCCTTCCTCTCTTCCTTCCTCTCTTCCTTCCTCTCTTCCTTCCTCTCTCCCTTCCTCTCTCCCTTCCCCTTTCCGCGCGCGCGGCCAGCACGAGATCACCGCCACAGCGCCCACCAGCGGCGGCAGCACGAAAATCAAGAGAGGGATTAGCACGATCAGCGGCCCGATGTCCAGCAACGCGTTCTGCTCCGCGACAAAGCCCCCGTTGGCCTCGTCCAACAGTCTTTGCACCTGCCGTCACACCCAGTTCCATAACGATCACGGAAACAAACGATTTAGTGCCGTGCACGTGACAGAGCAAGCAGATGAGACTTTAAACGTGCGCAACTGTAACGTACCTCGCCGCTCATCCGTAGACTCACCAGCTCGATGTCGACCTGGCGGCGGAAGTCCGCGTCCACGGCGCTGCTATACAGCCAGCCACCGCTGAACTGGTACAGCATGTCCTTTGTGCTGAAGAGCGTCAAGCCCTCTGCAGTGACGTGGTGTGTGTGTGCGCGCGCAGATGAAGAGGCACAGAGAAGATGGTTAGGTGCGGCTCCCCGACGCACGCACCTGCGCGCCCAAGAACGGGTGTTCGACTTACTGCACAGCGGATCGTGCGCGATGACGTTCTTGGCCGACACGTCCGACGTGACGTCAAAGTCGACGTCAGAGTCCTCGTCGGCCACCCAACGCATACAGTCGACGTCGCGCGAGCACTGGCTCCACGGATACGACTCGTACTTGCGCCCGTCGCTGTTCACTGCGCAGAATTCAGAAGAAATCAATGATGCCTCACTCGTTTTTCGTTAGCATATCCCGGGCATGATGGAGACAAGAAGGAAGAAGGAAGCAGAGAAAGAATTGTACACATACCTGCAGCATCCCAGACCTCCTCCAAGGCGGAATTTTTAAGGACCGAGTAACGCTTGAGCTCAGAGACGGAGAGGGTCTTGACGCTCTTATCCAGGGCCATGTTGCGCTGCTGGAACAAAAAGTTGACGACGGCGACCTCGTAGAAGAGGGCGAAGACGGATCCAAGCGCGACTAAAGCGGCGCTGAAGAGTGTGAATGCGAGGCCGTACTTGTTGCTGCCGAGCGGGAACCTCCTGACGTCCGCGTGTGTGCTGGAGCGGCGCGCGGGCGCTCCGCGCGGGAGATGGTGGTGATGGCGGCGGGGGCGGCGGGGCGGGGCGGGTTGCATCCGGATGTCGTCGGTGGACATGGCGCTCTGGCGCTCGCCGGCGAGTATGTAGAAGGCGGTGACGAACGGGCGGCCGGGGAGGACGTGGAAGCGGGCGGCGATGTAAAAGCAGACGAGGAGACAGACGCAGACGGCGGCGGCGAAGATGCACCAGGTGGACCAGCGGAACGGGCGGATGAGCTGGTAGAGCGGGCCGTGCGAGGCCTCGTGCTCGTCAGCCGCGCGGCCGACGATGACGACCTTGTTGTCCAGGAAGGAGGCGGACGGGTAGTGTCGGCAGTAGCGCTGCTTGGTCTCCAGCAGCATGCCGGTGATGGCGAAGCGGTACGGCGGGTCGTGGTGCGCCATGACGTCGACAAAGTCGACGAGGGCGTTGTAGGTGCAGGCTTCGTTGGGGCCCGCCCACACGCACAGGGCGTCGCTTGAGGTGGTACGCGCATGCATCTGGAAGGCGACGCCGGTGAGCTGCGGGTGGAGCTCGTGCGGGCGGCCGCACGCGAACGGGATCTGGAAGCGCGCGAGCAGCTCGGGCGTGGGCGCGGCCAGGGCGTCCGGCGGCAGCAGCACGAACGGGTTGTCGTGCACGAAGAGGAAGCAGGTCTCATTGCGGCAGCGCGCGAAGCGCGGCGTGGCGTCGCCGCGCGGCGGGTGGCGCAACAGGCGCAGGCAGTCGGCGTTGGGCGGCGGCGCCGGCAGCGTGAACACGGGCGTGTGCGCGGCGCAATCGTGCGCGGCAGGGGCGGCGGGGGCCACTGCGGCGGCTGCGGCCGCGGCCGCGGCCGCCAGCAGCGCGAAGAGGGGGAAGAGGGCGCTCATCGTGGGGCGCGGCTACGGGCGAGCGGCGCGGCGGTGTGAAGTAGGGGCGGGGCGGGGCGGGGCGGGAGAGATGATGACGCAGGCGCGGGCGGGCGAGCGCGGGCGCGGGACACGCGGGACGCACGGTCGCGAGGGGATGGCGGATGCAGCGTGGCGCGGGCAGGAGGGGCATTGCGCAGGCGGTGGAGATCGTGCGCGGCGCGGCGGCCCGAGGCGTGACGTGGCACGGGGCGCGCGGTGGGGAGGCGGCACCGGCACATGGCTCGGGGCTCGCCGCGAGCGCGCGCGCGCGTCCAAGGTATTCGGCGACGTCACGGACGAAGTGGCAGCGCGGACCGCGGCGCGGTGAGTCGCCACTGCCGCGCAGCAGCAATGCCACGCGGGGGACGCGGTGGCAAGTGCGGGCGCGCGGCGCGCGGGCGCGCACTTGCCCGACGGACGCGGCGGGAATATCGGCGGCGTCAGCCGAATTGCGGAGGGGCGCGCCGCGTCACACAAGCGCCTGGCGGGGGCGGGCCGCCCAGCGCGGCCAAAGGCTAGCGGCGGTGCGGTGCGCGAGGCTGCGTTCCTGTCGCGAGAGCTGCGCGGGGCATACCACGACTACTCTTTGCCGGCCTGCGGGGTGCCGGTAGACACGTCCTCCGCGCTCTTCCGTGAGGCGGCATCGATCGCTCTTGCACGGCCTTCTCCGATCAGAACGCTCATTAAAGACGGTGCAGAACACTAGTGTCGTGTCCTAGTGTCTATAGACGATGGTCTAGTAGACACTAGTGTCTATTGGACCATTGTCCTCATGTGAGGACATTTGTCCTCATATGAAGACAGTATTCGACCTATTTTATTCTTGACTTCCGCTTCCCCGACAAGAAAGAAAATGATACCTCCGCCACCGTACTTGACTTCTGACTTGGGACCAGAACGAACTCTGTGAGAATTGCATGTTCTCGGTGGTCGTTTTTAGATTGTCTGGAAAAGAAGCTTTTTTAAACCACCCTAAAACCGCATGTAAAATAACTTCGAAACCAAAAACGCCAGTTCAAAAAGGCAACTTGGTACTCAATCTGCATTATATTCATAAGCTTTTTGCGCATTCAAAGCTGCTATCCCGGTGTTCTGTAAGATGCTATTGCCGAAAACAAGCACGTTAAAGAAATAGTGCCCAAGGTAGCTTTTTGAATGTTCAATTTAATTTATATATTTTTGCAAAAAAAAGAGCTGTCCTCATATGAGGACATCGCCGTTCTCATATGAGGACAAGCCCCGGTCGGATAGACACTAGAGCGCACGAATTTTAAGACAGGCCACTCTCGCCAGACTTTCGGCTTGCAAGCCACACGCGGTGCACGTTGTGAAAAAGGAGATAGCAACGTCCTGGAACCGCCCTAGTGTCTTTCGGATCGTTGCTCTCGAGGACAGTTTTCGACTTATTTCTTTCTTGACTTGCACTTTCTCGACAAGAAAGAAAACGATACCCCCGCCACCGTACTGGACTTCGGCCATGGGACCAGAAAGAAGTTTGTGAGAATTGCATGTTCTTCCTGGTCGTTTTTAGATATGTCTGATCACGCGTTGCAGTGGTGCGCACGCAAAGTGACGTTTGAATCAGGGATCCGCTCCCGTCCAAGAAAAGAAGCTTGTTTAAAAGCTTGAAAGAGCATGTAAAATAACCTTGAAACCAAAAACTTGTGTTTTTAGAAAGGGAACTACAGTAGCTAGGTACTCAATCTGCAATACGATAGGTCAGGTCCACCATGCACGGGAAATATCCTCGGGCAAAAACATTTGTGGCCAATCAAGTCGTGGGACCACATACAGGGGGGTCGCGATATAGTGCTACACTGTGTCAGTGGGCCGAAAACGGCACTATATCGAACCAGGCACTGTAAGATAATGAGATTTACGCGTCGGTGTACACGTTGTGTACGCGGGTGAAGCTGCCACGGGAAATAGCGAGTGACCGCCGAACACTTGGCGTCATCCGAGCGTCGCCGCCTCGCTCTGCGCGCCGCCGCTGCGGCTACTTAGGGTCAGTGGCTGGTGCGCTGCTCGCCTCTCCGCCTTCCTCCCCTTATGTCTATTTCTCTGCCGAGAAATTCCCCTCAACACAGAGGCGGTGACAGCTTCTAAAGGGCACAATCAGAGTGCTCAGGCAGAATGAACCCAGCCTCTTACGATGCAAGCGCCTCGGCTGCCCCGCCGGGTGCGGCGGCCGCCGCGGTTCCCGCGCC